CCCCGTAGGAAGTAAATCCCTTTTCTAGAAGCACAGTTTGCTGAGAGTCTTTGACTGGCTAGTGTGTTTTCTCTGGCAGCACATCACCTGTCCTGGGCTGTCTGCCGTGGCTGCAGCTTCCCCATCTCACATCATTCCTGGCACCAACCCATTCTCAGTTAGGTGCGCAGTAGGGCTACTAATCAAGAGTTCCCAAGGATAAGGCATTTCCCACGAAGCCTTTCACAGTACAGATAGGAGTAAGAAGAGGACTCCGATGAATAGGGACTGGGGAGACAAGAACCTCAGAATAACTGGAGCCACAGAGAGACTGGCTTATGCCTCCTCTCAGACTTAGAAGGCTGAGGAAGGGGTGTCAGATTGAGCATTCCCTCACTAATGTTAGATTCTCAGGGACATGGGGGCTTTGGTACACATGGGTGACCCTCGGTGGGTAGAAAGAGCAGACCCAGGGGCCTCCTGAGTGAGGGTGCAGGGTTCACTCCTACCCTGAACACACAGGCCCCAAGGAGCCTGAAGACTGATGTCATCCCTGGAAGGGGACAGACAGGAGAGCCTCATGTGCATCCCCCGACATTTCCTCTCTGGCACCTCAGTAAGTGAGGGCCGTGGTCTGCAGTACAGGGAGGTAACCCAGGCCCCGCCTGGAAACAAGGGCAGAACACTGAATTACAGCTGAGAGGAACATAGACACTAGGAACATGAGGTGGCACAGAGACTGCCCAAGCCATCATCCCTGGGATGCCTTGGGCAGGGCAGTCACACTGACTCTGTATAAGGGTGTCAGAGATGTGAGGGACTTGTTCTCAGGGGAGGGTCTTCAGGTAAAGATTGGAAGGAGTTCCAGGCCCTTTCAAGAGTCAAAGTGAGGACCCTGAGTGAGAACTTCGGGAACCCATTACTCTCAGAATTCAGAGGGCCCCACAGGACCCCACCCCTTCTGCTGCCCTGGGATACCTGGCCACTTTGTATAGGATGTGACATAATCACTGCCTCCTATGGTGTCATAATGGTGGGAGGGACTTGGTGTAAGGGGTATGGCCTTAGGCCAGTAGTTGATTTCTAGGCTTTCCAGAGGCCAAGGTGAATACTAGGAGGGCTGTGGGAACCACCCACCGCACAACAGTGAGTAGACCATAAAAATCATTCCTTAGTTGGCTGTAAGAATCAAAGGACAGGTATGGTCAGCCTAAGCTCTTGAAGTTCCTCTAAAAGCCTCAGGCTGGCTCTGATTTTCATATGAGGGGCAGACTGAAGGGTCAGGGCGGAACTATAGAACATGACAGTGGTGGTTCAAGGCAAGGACTGAGGGTCATTCACCCCTAAATAGAAGGGATGACAAAGAATCTGACCCCACCCCTGGTTTCAGCCCTTGAAGGCCCAGGACAGGGCTATCACCTGAAGCTCTCCCAACCCTTACTTTTTTCCCATGAGGTGAAATCCTTAGTTTGAAGGTGTAGCCACTATTCAACTAAAGGGGTGGGGACACAAGGCCCAGTGGGAAGCCTAATGTAGACTTTTAGTGAAGACTGAGGCCCCAAGAGAGACAAGGACAGAAAACCCTCCACTGAGCAGTCAAACCTGGAAATACCTAGACAGGGGTGATGAATTGAGGTCTCCCATTCACTTCATACTTGTTGGTCCCTTGATGTGCCAACAGTTGAATAAAGCTCTTGAATGTGAAATAAGACAACCTTCAAACTCAAAGACTGCCAGCCCCTGCTGTCACCTCAGTATGGCTGAGGCAGGACTGGCAGGATGCAGCCTAAAGGTTTCCCAGGGCACAGGCTGATTAGAACAGGAGCTCTGTGGGTTTTCCGAGTGGTGCCCTGGAGGGGAACAGCAAATGTAGCCTTCCTTCCAATCAAGGTGTTATTTCTATGTCCAAGGGGCACACACACTCTCAACCTTCCTCCAACAGGTACCCCTACCAGCTGTCCTCCTCCTACCACTCCTGACTATTGTGTCTGACCATACTCATCATGCCTCGGAGACACAGGAGTCAGCGCCACAAAACTCAGAATCAACAAGCATCCCAAGATGAAGCCAAGAGTGGCAGGATGTTTGAGGCAGCTGCCCCCATAGAAGAAGAGCCTCCCTCATCCTCCTCGTCTGTTTTGGAGGGTAATCCCCAGCACTCCTCAGCTACTGAGCCAACTAGTTGTTCCCAGGGGTCTTGCAGAGCTCCAACTACCTCCATTACCTCTTCAGTTGCTTTTCACACAAAATCTGAGGGCAGCCAGGATGAGGAACATTCACCTTCCTCTGAGGTCTTACCTCCCGAGAACCCAGGCTGTGATCCTCTAAGTATGGAGGTGGCTGTCTTGCAGAAGTTTATTTTGCACAAGTATAGAATGAAGCAACCCATTCTCGGAGAAGACATGCTAAACACTGTTGACCAAAAGTACCAGCACCAATTTCCTGAGATCCTCAAGAAAGCCTCTGAGAGCATTGAGGTTCTCTTTGCAGTTGACTTGAAGGAAGTGGACTCAACCAAACACTCCTATGACCTTGTGAGCAAGCTGAAACTCCCCAATAGTGGGAGGGTACGTGCTGGCAGGGGCTTCCCCAAGACTGGTCTCCTGATGAATATCCTGGGCATGATCTTCTTGAATGGCAACCGTGCCAGTGAAAACGAGATCTGGGAATTCCTGAATGCCATGCGAGTGTTCCCTGGGAGGAAGCACTACATCTATGGGGAGCCTAGGAAGCTTATCACCAAAGATCTAGTGAAGCTCAAGTACCTGGAGTACCGCCAGGTGCCCCACAGTGATCCTCCATGCTACGAGTTCCTGTGGGGTCCCAAAGCTTACAGTGAGACAAGCAAGATGAAAGTCCTGGAGTTCTGGGCCAAACTCAGCGATACGGTACCAAGTGCCTTCACATCACCATACAAAGAAGCCTTGAGAGAAGAGGTAGAAAGGGCACAAGCCAGATGGCCACCCGAGGCCGGCACCAGTGCCACAGGCAGGGAATAGTGCATGGCCAGGTCCACCAGTGTCTCTACTCCTAGTAAAGTCTGAGGATTATTTTTTGTCGTGAAAAAATCTGACATCATAATAGATGATTTCATGGACGTGGGGGGAAAATCCCTCAGTAAAATTGTTGCGATAATAGAAAAAATAAAATATCAACCTTGATTCTCCTTCCTCCTTTCAGTCTTGTTTTGTAAGAGTAATTGCTTTATGCCCCGATGTGCTTAGCTCATTACAGATTTTGGAGATCGTTGATCTTAACAAGTTAGACTTCGTACTCCCTTTCTCTTCTATTCCCCACACTAAATTGAGCATCTACTCTTTGGAAGCCCTGCGCTGTTACTAGGGATGATGAAATACAGTCCCTGCCTTTGCTCCTAGAACTTTGCTAGGTAGGACCTGCAGTCAGGTAAGGAGGATGTTGAGAGACCCTCTATGACTTACAGGAAAGTAAAAGGGGTGGGTTATTCAGGAGTTGCTCCAGGTAAAAGCAGTCAGTGCCAATTCTCTGAGTCAAGGCAGTTTAAATTTGGGGATGCTGCCCCGCCAGGCGTGGCTCAGCGGTTGAGCGTCGACCTAGGATCCAGGCGATCAGGGTTCGATTCCCGGTCAGGGCACATACCCGGGTTGTGGGCTGGAGCCGATCAATGACTCTGATCATTGATGTTTCTATCTCTCTCTCTCCCTCTCCCTTCCTCTGTCTGAAATCAATAAAGATATGTTTTAAATAAATAAATAGATAAATTTGGGGATGCTGCAAATTCGTCTTACAAATGTCATTTTATTTCACTTTTTAAATTATTTTTTTATTTTTGAATGTAATACAGATGCCCCATTTTTACTCTCATTGATCCCTTCCACCCAGTATGTGTCCTTGCTCCCAGACCTTCTCCACACTGTTTTCTGAGTCCATGGGTTATTCATATATGCACATAAGTTCTTTGATTAGTATTCCCCCTACCTCCACCATTCCCTCTGAAATTCTTTAGTCTCTTTCATGGTTCTATGTCTCGGTATCTATTTTGTTCATTAGTTTATTTTGTTCATTATGTTCCACATATGAGTGAGATCATGTGATACTTATTGACAGATATGTCATTTTAAATTAAGCTGTGGTGATGGAGATCAGTCTGTGGAGCTGGTGTGCAGAAGTCAGAACCTCAGACCAGATGTCTGAGTTGAGAGAGAAAATACTTGAATGGAAAACTGCACTGTGGTATAAGGTCTAAAATTTAGGCCCAATATTTTGTGGGACATATTCCTAAAAAGTGGGTTTATGTTCCATACCAGCCCGTGGACTTTGCAAACAATCCGATTACATGCTGTCATGGGAATTAGGGATCACCTCATCCTCTCGATACCCCACACCCTGCCTCCCACAGGGCCCGCTCATTCACTCTCCCTGAGTGCAATACCTGTGTGCCACAGTCAGTCATGTAGTGTCCTCCTACTCCGGCTTGTGAGTATACGTCATTGATAAATGGTTGTCTAGCTCATCTAGACAGGTTCCAGTATTTTGGTTTTGGACATCACATAACCATAGTGCAGAAATTCCATCCCCACCTCACAAGGTAAATAACAGTCCATTGAACATGCTGTTATGAATCAGTTTGGGAAGACAGTTAACCCAGAAAAAGAATCTCCATCTGGGGCAGTGTATTAGTTATCTCAGGCTGCCCTAAGAACATACCACAGACTGGGTGGTTTAAACAACCTAAATTTAACTTCTCACAGTTCTAGGGGCTGGTGTTCCAAGATCAAGGTGCTTGATTGGAACTCAATCAAGGGTTCATCACGGTTGGTTTGCTCTGAGGCCTCTCTCCTTGGCTTGTAAATGGATACCCTTTTCTGGTGGCTGTCCCTTTGTGTAAGCACATGCCTACTGTCTCCTTGTGTGTCTTAAACTCTTCTTGTTTAAAATATATTTTTACTGATTTCAGAGAGATGAAGGGAGAGGGAGAGAGAGATAGAAACATCAATGATGAGAGAGTCCTTGATTGGCTGCCTCCTGCATGCCCCCTGCTGGGGATGGAGCCCAAAACCCAGGCGTGTGCCCTGACTGGGAATCAAACCGTGATCTCCTGGATCATTGGTCAATGCTCAACAGCTGAGCCACGCCAGCAGGGCATTATTTTATTTATTTATTTATTTATTTATTTATTTATTTATTTATTTACTTATTTATTTATTTTTTTACGGAAATGAAGGGGGGGGAGAGAGAAAGAGAGAGAGAAAGACATCAATGTGAGAGAGAAACATCAATCGGTTGCCTCCCACACATGCCCTGACTGGGTATTGAACCCACAACCTTGGTGTGTGACCTGACTGGGAATCAAACCTGCTACCTTGTAAATGTAAGGCTTTACTTGGTATAATATTACCTGTTTTCTCAACATTATCTCCAATATTTCATACTACGCTTTTTACTAAATTGCTAAGATTTTTTGTTTTGTTTTTTTGTTTTTTTTTAAATATATCTTTACTGATTTCAGAGAGAGGAAGGGAGAGGGAGAGAGAGAGATAGAAACATCAATAATGAGAGAGTCATTGATCGGCTGCAGCCCGCAACCCGGGCATGTGCCCTGATCGGGAATCGAACCCTGATCGCCTGGATCCTAGGTGGACGCTCAACCGCTGAGCCATGCCCTGCTGGGCAAACCTGCTACCTTTTGGTGTATGAGACGNTGCTGGGCAAACCTGCTACCTTTTGGTGTATGAGACGATGCTCCAACCAGCTGAGGCACTGGTCAGGGCAGTGTTTATATTTTAAATATGGGTCTGTTTTTTGGTTATGCAACCTGAAGCTTCTTCATCAAATTTATTTGTTCACAACATGCACCATGTACTTTGGCTTTATTCCCAGTCAACTTTTTCCCATCCAAATGTCTGCTTCCTTGTCACACTGTTAGTCAGTTGTGGTCTCTGTACACTAGGCTTTGTTTGACATAGTTCTACTTTTAGTTTAGGTTACTTTCTAAATCTGAAGTGTGAACAATACCTTCTGTTCTTTCACATTCTTCTTAATAAAAATGTTAAAATTATTATATTTAAAATAAAAAGACAAAAATCTACTCTTTAACCAATAAGTACATAAAGTTTCCAGATGGCTTTATCAGCATTTTAAATCTTCTGGGTTGATGAGTTATGTTTGAAGCATAAACATCAATTATATCACCTGTCATGAAACTATTAGGGATGGCCAAGTTTCATCAGCATTGATCTGTGCATATTAGATTCTCAGAAGCCCCTGATTTTATAATTAACACCTGCTTTGGGTTCTACAGGGAATCCCAAACACATAACAGTTTCCAAATGAAAACAGACATGTTATATATTTTTTAATAGAAAGTGTTAAAATTTATTTTTGTGGAATTAAGTTGGTAATTTTAATGTTCTTATTTTATTTCAGATGTCCCATTAGGTTAGATTACACTTACTGATCAAGAAAATGTCCAGTTTTCATAGGGCACAGGCATTAAAATAATTCCTTAGATTCACCATTGTTCATAGGCAATAACTTACATTTTTTATATTATACTACACTCTAGTTGGGTATTTTCTATCATTATTTTAAAAATACAGACCTGGAGATTACCATACTAAGTGAAAAAAGCCAGTCAGAGAAAGACAAATATTACATGATATCACTTACATGTGGAATCTAATGAACAAAATAAAATGATAAACAAAACAGGTCCAGAAGCATGGATGCATGGAACAGACTGACACACCTCAGAGGGAAGGGGATGGGGAGGACAGGAAGAGATTAACCAAAGAACATATATGCATATATGCATAGCCTATGGACACAGACAATAATGAGGTGAAGGTCTG